TGGCTTCATGATGTCAAATGGGTCTGACATTGACTGGCTTCATGGTGTCAAATGGGTGTGTACATTGACTGGCTTCATGGTGTCAAATGGGTGTGTACATTGAATGGCTTCATGATGTCAAATGGGTGTGTACATTGACTGGCTTCATGGTGTCAAATGGGTGTGTACATTGACTGGCTTCATGATGTCAAATGGGTGTGTACATTGACTGGCTTCGTGGTGTCAAATGGGTGTGTACATTGACTGGCTTCATGGTGTAAAATGGGTTTGTACATTGACTGGCTTCCTGGTGTCAAATGGGTGTGTACATTGACTGGCTTCATGGTGTAAAATGGGTTTGTACATTGACTGGCTTCATGGTGTCAAATGGTTGTGTCGTTGACTGGCTTCATGATGTCAAATGGGTGTGTACATTGACTGGCTTCATGATGTCAAATGGGTGTGAACATTGACTGGCTTCATGATGTCAAATGGGTCTGACGTTGACTGGCTTCATGATGTCTAATGGGTGTGTACATTGACTGGCTTCATGATGTCAAATGGGTTTGTACATTGACTGGCGTCATGGTGTCAAATGGGTGTGTACATTGACTGGCTTGACGATGTCAAATGGGTGTGTACACTGACTGGCTTCATGATGTCAAATGGGTTTGTACATTGACTGGCTTCATGATGTCAAATGGGTTTGTACATTGACTGGCTTCCTGATGGTAAATGGGTTGTACATTGATTGGCTTCATGATGTCAAATGGGTGTGTTCATTGGCTGGCTTCATGGTGTCAAATGGGTGTGTACATTGACTGGCTTCATGATGTCAAATGGGTGTGTACATTGACTGGCTTCATGATGTCAAATGGGTGTGTACATTGACTGGCTTCATGATGTCAAATGGGTGTGTACATTGACTGGCTTCATGGTGTCAAATGGGTCTGTACATTGACTGGCTTCATAATGTCAAATGGGTTTGTACATTGACTGGCATCATGATGTCAAATAGGTTTGTACAATGACTGGCTTCATGATGTCAAATGGGTCTGACATTGACTGGCTTCATGATGTCAAATAGGTCTGTACATTGAGTGGCTTCATGGTGTCAAATGGGTTTGTACATTGACTGGCTTCATGATGTCAAATGGGTCTGTACATTGACTGGCTTCATGATGTCAAATTGGTTTGTACATTGACTGGCTTCATGATGTCAAATGGGTTTGTACATTGACTGGCTTCATGATGTCAAATGGGTGTGTACATTGACTGGATTAATGATGTCAAATGGGTCTGTACATTGACTGGCTTCATGATGTCAAATGGGTCTGTACATTGACAGGCTTCATGATGTCAAATGGGTCTGTACATTGACTGGCTTCATGTTGCCAAAAATATAACGTTTGTATAATTACAATACTTGATAAATCTTCAAGTATCAATGTAAATGAACAATGTCATAAAGTATAAAAAGAATTCATCGTATGGGGAAATTTTTTTTTCTTTTAAATATTTAATTTCTTTTAACAGACAACTAAATATGTTCTATTTATGGCAGATTCAAATATAGATTATGCAAAGTATATTTAAAGGAAGAAGGGTTGAGTTTTTTAGAAACACGCATAAAATACCATTTTTCAGGGTTAAATGTCATCTGCTAGTCTCTTTTCTAATGCTATAAACTAGATAAATCACTTTGAAATAATTTTGCATCGGAACTTTTATTAACATTTAGCAAAAAGTCTTGCATTACAAGTAACGTGTGCTGGTAATAAATCGTTAATACATAGTAAAAATAATGTAGTGCCTAAAACTGTACCTTGAGGGACACCAGAATCAATAGCTAATTTAGAATAATTTAGGTTCCATTTAAAAGAACTTGTTGTTGCCAGTAAGCTAAAATGTCTGTTATTCAATTTGAGTTTTGATTTCTAATTCCATAAAAAGAGGACTTTATCAAAGGCTTTTGAAGTCTAAATGTATAACGTCTGTTTGGTTGCTATTAACAAATGATTTTGCAAGAGCTTGGACACTGATAATGAGTTGTGTCTCACATGACCTTTCACTCTTAGACTCGTATTGACTTTCATGTAATATATAGCATGTACTATTATTGTTTTTATGTTATATGTGTACAGATATTACTGTTAAAATAATTCCAAAATATTACAGCAAATAACAGTTACTGAGACTGGTCTATAATTACAGGTTTCATAACGAGTGAGAATTGGATATCCTCAGATTCTTACATGGCATTTTGCATATCAGATGTATTATCAGCCTAAGAACCGAAGGCTCGAGGGCTGATATTGACCGAGGGTTGATAATACATCTGATATGATAAATGACATGTTATGATCTTTTTATCATATGCTTCAACAAATGGAGAAAAACAGTTTTGATATATTGATCCTTTTAAGTGGTTCTCAAGTAGAAGTTCAAAAAGTGAAAAGTTTAAGGACAACGGACGCCAAATATAATACATCCGATATGAAATCTTTCTATCAAATGCCTTGACAGAGAAGAAAAAACAACAGTATATTATATTTCATATTGACGATAAAAAAAAAATCAACAAAACTTAATGAACACTGTTTTGAAAAGTAAACATTTGTAAAATAACTTGCTAAATTATGCTGGAAACTTTGAAAAATGCATTTATTGTATCATTTGTTTTGCATTTTACATAATACATTTTTACGGTTTCCTAATACTTGTTTTGTATCCTACTTTGTAATGTTTTCCCCTGAAAACGTACCATTGAGGTGTATCTTCCGGAATTTGCCGAATAACGCCGGCATGCCGTGCGATAACGTTACGGAAAGACATGCGATAATAGCCGGTAGCAGTTGATAAATTTTTCATATCAGTCCGCTTAGCACTATTTCGGAAAATATGGTATTCACGTAAATTTAATGCTATTATCATACTGTAAAAATCTTAAGTTATTTACTCTAAGTATATGATAATGCTTGATATCAACTCGAGTTATTTAATTTCAATGTGATAATAATTGAACGAGCCTCAGTTTGGCGAGTTTATCATTATTACTATTTAAATAAATAGCGAGAGTTGATATCAAGCGATATCCAATTCTCACGAGTTGTTAAACCTATTTCTCTTATGGCCATCACTCTCATTGTGTTAAATTAAAAATTCCGCGAATCAGTCTTTTGTACATACCAGCATGACGTCATATGTCTTGTTCCGGTGTCAATCTTAAACATCTGACATTTTAAAACTTTTAGAATGCTTCAGAAACAGAATGTAATGAAATTTGTCAAGAAGAATATTTCCACGTGAAAAGTGTTAGTGTTTTTTTTTATATTATGGAAGAAATCTCATATATCCGTTGCCATGGACGAAATGTACATCGTCTTGACATTTGAAAGTTATCAATGACCTACATGTAACGAATAGCCAATGGAAATGTCGTAATGTCGTCTCATGATTCTGGGGGAAGCAAGACAACTTGCCCCACTGCCAAATCGCCCAAGACAAAATCTCCCCACTTATCCACCAACTCGCCCCACTTTCTACCAACTCTTGTTTATCAACTCGACCCAATTATGAAAAGTACTAGTAGTTTAATCTCCACAATCGCACAAACTGTACTGCTAAAATAACAACACATTAGTAATACTAACAAAAATAGAAAATTTCATATATGATTCTAATTGAAATTGAATGATGATTCATTTCTTAAGGATGTACTTAGGTAAAATTTATAATTGTAGTATTTATGTTAGAATTACTTTATTTTGTAAGTTACTCATTTGCATAATCATGCCAAAGAAACCAGTTAATTGTATCATAATGCGATATATTACCATAATAATTTAAGGATACCAATTTAACAGCAATTTGTTATTATCGGGATTAAATTCCTTTTCATAAGTGGAGCGAGTTGGTAGTCCTTAATGCAGTACGGTTTAATTCTTTTTTTCGTTAGTGGGGCGAGTTAGCAGACCTTTATTCATCGGGATTAAACTCTTTTTCATCAGTGGGGCGAGTTGGCAGGACTAAATTCATCGGAATTTTACTATTTTTCATAAGTGGGGCGAGTTGTCAGGGCCCGTATGCATAAAACATCTTAACTTAAGTGTTCCTTTAACTTAGATTTCACTAAGAATTCCCTTAGTTAAGTAAAATTACTTAAGTCTTCACTTAACTGAGGAATACTTAAATCGGAACCTTTCTCTAATTACCGTATGATATATGTTAGCTCGTCGCATGTACTCATCCGTGTAAAAGTTTGTTTTGATTATTTACATTGATTGAACAATGCATAACTGTATAAAAAACTGGGGTTAAATTGATGTTGGTGTGTAAAACAATTATCAAATACGTAACCTGTTGCGAAGTCAATTAAGTTAACTAATACTTGTCAATTAGAATTTATTGCTTAATTTACAAGTATTCAAAGAGCGATTAAAAGTTCAAATAAATGTTTTTCACTGAGACACTGGCCGAGATCTGACGAATTCTGGTGTGATCGAATTGTGTCTTGAAGTCCAAAATGAGAGATCTTATATAGTCTAGTGGTCCATACAAACGGTCCATAGCTGTAGGCCGGTTACGTAGTAGTCTGGTTGTGGAGTAATACTAGTCTGTGGTTAATTGTCAAACTATGCAATTAACCCCTGACGGATACATGTTATTTCACAGTAGACATGGTCATTTAGTGGCTGCAGGATATATGTCAATAATATTCGTACAGATTGTTATTAAGTGTCTAAAGGTTACATGTAATCGTCTCGGTTTTGCTGTATGTAGTTACTTCCTGATGATTATCGTATGGAACACAATTGTGTTACATAATGCCTTCCCTCCAAAATAGAACGAAAGTTCAATAAAATACGGTATTTTTCTTCCTGTAGGTTATTCTAATAGTTTATTGTAAGGTTTCCGGTAACCATCACCACATATCTAAAGTTTATAAAGTTCTACGAGTCCAATATCATGATATAATAAGTTCATCACATTCATCAAGTCTAATAGCTGGATACATTTACACATAGTTCATTCGAATCATAAGTTCAATATTTCGGTATACATAGTTCATGTTTTATTTCCATCACCATCATAGTAAGTTGTTCCTCAATACTGGGTAGGAACGCAAATGTTTATACAATTCTATTTACACAGTTCATAGGGTCACTTTAAAATTATTTACACGGTTCGTCTTCTGCTAGTGGATTCGGTCGTCTACGTTGTATGGTTTACAATCCAGTCCTTTTACGAAGTAGTCGACGTATCTAGCTCTGGGTACATCTTTCTCAAGAGACTGGTAGCATCGGTCTTTGGTCTTGCATCGTCTTTGAGTAATGGTGCAGAGGGAATCTTCTCTCTGGAATCAGGTACTTCTGTCCCAACCATTTGCGTTGTCACCATTTGGTACCCATCGTTCGTGGCATTAGAACCCGAACTCACACCTTTCTTTTTGGCTAACCAAGATTTGTTTCTAAAAAACTTGCAGTACAAAAATATAGCTATTCCAATGAATATCGCACCCAAACCCAGGGATAAACCTACTCCCCAATTTGGAAATTCAAAATCGTTTTCAATTCCCCTTAAATTTCTAAGTTTTTCAATCAAAGCGTTCATAGGAATTTGTTTAATCGCCTTTAGTTCTCTTGGTAGTTCAAGCTTTGTAAAATTTGGCAAAGCAGCATGAAAGGGTTCCCATAAACTTGTATTCAGTACTTGAAAGGTATTTAAGAATCTTTCGAACGTTTTTTCTGTTAAAAATGTACTTTCCATTTGATAAGTAGGTAATAAGGTCAAATGATCACTCGTAGCGGTACAAGTTCGCTTTAAATTAATTATAGTGGTAGGAGGATTAATTATCTGATCCGTCAACATGTTTGTATTGTCATCACATCTAATAGTGATTCTAAATTCATTAATGGTTGTAACTGCCCACATACTATCGGTCAAATAAGTTGCCATAGGCAAAATTGTGTTTGGTCGTACTTTCACTGTACATCTTGTTTTCCAATTTTCTTTATTGGCAAATAAGGCTATGATACATAATTTACTTAAATTAACTGGATAAACTGGACTTTTAATTTCACAAAAATTAACTAAAGGATTGGAACACTTGTCAATTTCATTGGTATTTAGCAGCATATATTTAGTTTTTTCTTGGTTTGCAGCAATAACTTCTGCTTCTAATTCATACTGAGCAACCATACTGCTCGAGTCAGATTGTTTATCAGTTATCGTAGTAGGAACAGGCAAGTTGTGAATCTTATAAATTTCATAAGTGTCTCTTATATCTAGTAATGGTAACGTAATGATAATGATTATTTTGTTTTCGTCCAAAACTGTACTACAGGTCAAAAATTTATAAAAATTCCAAATATCTTTAACTTCGTCACCAGGTATCTTTAATGTCGCCGGTAGTCGTCGTTTTATGTCAGTCAATAATACTCGTAAATTACCGGGTGATATAAGACTGGGTGACATGTGTCCTAAGGACAACATGTTTAGTTGTAATTGCAAATGGTTTAAATAATCCCCGGCTATATTCATAAGGTCCTTTATTTCACCTATTATCATGTCCATATGCAAATAAGCTTGTAAATAACTTCCCATAACTTCAATTTGTTTTTCTAAATCCGTAGCAAAAGTTTGAAGTCTATTTCCAAGATCTTGAACACTTTCAATCAACTCATTAACCTTGTGTCTATTTTCAGAAACATGTGTTTGTGTAGTGTTTAAGATAGTTAACCCATCTTGAACAATATGACGAATTGCATCTTGATTTTGTGCCAAAGTTTTGATATTTCTTCGAATTTTTGACAGGTCGCTGTCTGATACAGTACCAAATAAAAAACTTAATGCTTTGCCTATAATAGGAAATAAGCTACGTTTAGTTTTAAACTTTGCCGTTTCGTCGTAATATAAAGATTGGTAATCATTGAATTGTGATTGTAAATAATCTTTAGTCCGATTTAATCCTTCAACCTCCCTTTGTAGACTTAAGATAGTAGCCAAAATGTGTTTTTTTTCTGGGGTGTAAAACATAGAAATTGTGTGAACTTTTTGTGTAGCGAGAAAAGCCTTGCCCAAGTCTTGTTCTATTTTATTAAGAAATAATTCAAAAGGATCCAAGTCTACGACAAAAGTAATGAGCCAATTTGACCTTGTGGTTGATATTTCCTTAATTTTTTGAAACATGACATTTTCCTTGACAATGAATTGGCTGGTTAAGCCAAAAAGAACAAGTGAGAACCACCACCACTTCATCACTGGTTCTCCCTAAAAATGATGATACATATATAAATTATCATAATATATTTTATTTATCTGGCCTTTATCAATTTTGGAATTCATATGATAGTCCTGAATAAAATGTTTGGTTGTTTTCCTTCACAGTCTCAAATTTAATTATCAGATCGAAAATGCGTATCCGGTGCATTTTCCTTGCCTTGTTTAGAATCACTTCTTGGTGGTAAACCCCAAAGCGATTGGATCGTTTTAACCATCCAATGGCTTTGAAGTTCTCCACCGTCCACTTCCTAAGATGCTCCTGATAGGGTAAGTTATGTATTTCGGCAAATTGTTTCCGGCGTCCAATTATTTCTGCGAATTTTGTGGGTAAACCACAATAATTGTCAATTATAATTGGATCCGACAGGTTAATAAGCTTCTGTATAGCGTGGAATTCCTTAAATAGAGGTTCCCTTCTCTTTCTATCTAGTATTTCCCGGAAATAATTGATCTTAAATTGTACATATATGTCCCACCATAAATTATCAGGTAATAGTTTCCACAAATAGAGGGATTCTAGCTGGGCAAAGCTTTCTTCATTGTCTGCCATTCTGTAAAATGAGAATAAATACTAGTTTTATTACATAGTTTATAAGTTTTAGAAATTTTTAAATGATTTGCATCCTTCTTACGACCTATAAAGCCAATTGATACCTACATAATACCTATTAAAGCCCTTACTAAATTTTGTACATGTTCCTTGGTTACCAATTTTGTTTCGTTAGCCCCATTATCAGTTGGTTTCCGATTATTTTTTATTTTAACCCGGTTTACAGACATGTTATCTTCCATATCGGAAATTTCAGATTCAACAGGCGAAGAGTGACTGCTGGACATTTTATCATCAATGTCAGAAACTTCAGAATTAGTAGACGAATTTTCTACTTCTTCTTTTATGATTTGATCATCACTTTCTATTTCACTATTATTGACATTATTTTGTTCTGAGAAAATTTTCTTCCCCCTTAATTTTTTAGATAACTCCATTAATGGTATATCATCTTCTTCATCAGAATTTTCCCTTTCTTTTTTATATCTTTTTGCAATTTGATTTAACGGAGTGTCTGAATCTATGCTTTCATCATCAGAGGAGTCTTCTGATTGTGACTCAATGGGAACTACATATGCAGCTTTACGTAATGTCCTACCTTGATTGTTGTTAGGAATTTCCCAATCTAACTTAGCCAAACGAATTTGTTCAGCATGAGCCTTTGTGGTTGTCCCATCTAACTGATTTTTTAAAATAAAACTAACAGGTGAAGTTTGTTCTATAATCCTATAGTACGGAGTCCATTTTTTTGAAAGTTTGCTTGCCCTTCTATGATTTTTATAAAAAACTGGGTTTCCTACCTCAAACTTTATATCTTTGCTATGTTTGTTTGCGTACTTAGCTTGTTTCTGCTTAGATTTTTTCATGGTTTTATGAACCAACATAAATGATTTATGTTGTTGTTGCAAGGCAATTTTATGATATTCTTCCCCATTGTATTTTCTCCTAGGCTGTAAAATGTTATCTAAAGGTAAAACTGGATCCCTGTTATATAATGCATAAAAAGGTGAAAGTTGGGTGGACTCATTGATATTGAATCTAATTGCTGCTAAAGCTTGGTTCAAGTATAAATCCCAAGTTGTGGAATGATCTTCTATTAATTTTGACAAAACATCATGTAATGTTCTATGAAATCTTTCTATTTTAGCATTACCCTGAGGGTGATAGAATGAAGTTTTAATATGCTTTATATTAAGTTCCTTACAAACTTCCTCCATAGCCTTAGAACAGTTTTCCCCTCCGTTATCACTTGTTAGAATTTGAATCCCAGAATGCCTTGAAGTAATTTCTTCAATCAAAAGATGTGCAACATTGTCAGTGCTTTTTGTTGCGACACTAAAAGCTTCTGGCCACCCTGAGTATAAATCGATAAATCCTATAATGTACCTGTTACCTGACATGGTAGTTGGATACGGTCCACTCAAATCTACCCCTACATGACAAAAAGGATAAGGCGGAATTTTTGTTTCCTGAATTGGCGCTCTAACCTTTTGTAAATTGCGTGATTGACAAGGTACACAAGTAGTGACATAATTATACAATTCCTTAAACATGTTTGGCCAAAAATATTTTTGACGAATGGAATCAAATGTTTTGTCAATGCCCATGTGCCCATTCTTATCATGATATTGTTCTACAACTGCTTGTTTTATATGAGAAGGTATGTACAACCTTATAATAGGATCATTATCTACATTTGAAATGTAATAAAGTATGTCATCTATTATGATGTACTTGTTTTGCACTGCCTCGGGTACCTCATCGCTTACAAGTTGTTCCTTTAACTCACGTAATGTTTTGTCTTTCATTTGTTCGATTGACATATCAAATTCTTCAAACTGAAAATTTTCTTTTTCTGGAATATCTTCAACTAATTTATCATTATTTGCATAATCAGAAAAATGAAATCTATTTGAATTAATCACATTAATTTCGTAAGTATTGTCACTAATATCCGGATACGGATCTGGATTTTCGTTTCGTTTTTCATCTGAAGGTAATCTAGACATAAAATCTGCACACACGTTTTGGGGCCCTGGAATATACTGAATAGTACAGTTATAACCCGTTATGTTCAATGCCCACAGTTGAATTTTCTTATTTTGCATTGGTGATTCCAGAATGTATTTCAAAGGTTTGTGATCTGTTTTTATCACAAATTCAGCATTATACAAATAATGATTCAATTTTTGTAAGGCATAATGAATCGCAAAGGCTTCTTTTTCAATGGTTGACCAACGTGTTTGCGTATCACTCAATTTATGAGATAGGAAGTAAATTGGTCTTTCAACTTCATTTTCACCCTCTATTGGGCTGGCTTGTAATTGCGTTAAACAAGCGCCTACACAATTATCACTAGCGTCCGTGTAAAGCACATATGGTTTATTCAAATCTGGATATGCCAATAAGGGAACTTTCACTAATTCACCCCTTAATTTTTCAAAAGCAACTTGACAAGTGTTGGTCCAATCAAAAACCTTGTTTTTCCTAGTTAAGGCAACTATAGGCTCCGCAATTTTTGAAAATGAAGGTACAAATCTGCGATAATAACTCAAACAACCTATTAATCCTCTAACTTCCCTGACATTCGAGGGAGCTTTCATGCCTTGAATGGCCTTAACCTTTTCAGGATCTGGTTTTAGTCCATCTTTACTTATTATAAAGCCTAAGTAATTAGTTTCATCTTGCAAAAAATTACATTTTTTCAATTTTAATTTTAGTTTGTGTTGTCTTAATCTATCAAAAACTTGTTGTATGTGGCCTAAATGTTCTTCCACTGTTTCGGAAAATATCAAAATGTCATCTATGTAAGCAGTTGAAAAATGTTCTAACCCTTGTAGTACCTCTGTAACTAATTCACTAAATAAACTGGGCCCTGAGGCGAGACCAAATGGCAATACATTGAACTCAAATAATCCCTTGTGACATACAAAAGCAGTCTTTTCCTTATCCGACTCTTTGACCTTTACCTGATAATATCCTGACTTTAAATCAAGCGATGTCATTACTTTGGCTTTACCTACTGAAGCAAGCAAGTCATCAATCAGGGGCAACGGAAAGGAATAAATTTTACTGGCTGCGTTCAGGCTGCGATAGTCCACGCACATCCTTGATGTTTTATCCTTTTTAGAAACGATAATAATAGGCGCAGCCCAAGCCGACCTAGATTTCCTAATAATATTAGCCTCTAATAATTCCTCAATAGCCTTATCTATTATTTTTCTCTGATTGAGAGGGGCCCTATAGGGTTTTAATCTGATAGGTGGATGATCCCCGGTATCAATAGTCATTTGCACTGTATCAGTGCACCCCAAATCTTTGTCTGAAGTTGCAAAAATATCTTCATTATCCCTTAACATTCTAAGTATATCCTTTTTAAATTCTTGTGGTACACTTATTTCAGACTCATCTAACTTTTTGAGTTCCGAAGTTCCTTGTGATTGATTAACATTGACTAAATTTATTTCTTCTAAATGAGAAGCCTTACCTACTACACAACCTCTTCTTAACCTAATTGATTTGTTTGTGTTATTTACAATCATCAAAGGAAACTTCCTATTTTTATTAAAATTAACCACCGTATTACTTATCATTAAGCCTGGTTCTGTACTAACATACCCTGAAGCTACAGGTGAGATTTCTAACAATTTAGTACTTCCAAAACTTGGATTGTTCTTAAGGCCTACGGGACAAACATTAATTGTTTGTGGTTTTAATACGGCATTTACGGTTAATCTTACAATTGAAGCCACATTAATATCTTCTTCTAATGGAACATAATTTTTTTGAATTCTTAAACATCCTAAATCAAAATATAACCTAACTCCATTTTGTACTAACCAATCTTTTCCTAAAATAACATTTCTGTTCATGTCTCTAACAACATAAAATAATTGAGTAACTTTTGTACTACCTATTTTAAATGTAAGGTTTGCACAACCTTCTACATGTAAAGACCCCCCATTTACGGACTGTAAGTTAGCCGTTTTCTTTAGTAATTTTGGTTTATCCCTCAAAGTTTCAAAAATTCTTTTGTGTATCAAAGAAACACTAGCGCCTGAATCTACGAGAGCTCTATATCTTTGATTTTGAATTTTGATTAAAGTTGAATTTGGAGCTCCTGCAACATTTATAGAATAAGTAGGTAATTTCTTTTCAATTTTACTCTTATCACCGGCTTCAACGTGACAAGAGCGCTTTAGTTTTCCTGATATACACCCCAGTTTTCTACCATGTTAACAGTCCTAGGTTTTCTATTTGGGCAATTTGGCCTAATATGTCCCCGTTGATTACACTGATAACAAATTATCTCATTATTTCTTCCCGAATTCCCTTGATATTGTTGCGTTTCAACTGCATTTACTTGTCTATATGTTCCCCTAGAACGACAATCTCGTGCTATATGCCCTACCTTACCACAAGAATAACAATTAATTTCCCTGTTTCTACCCGAATTTCCGTGATATGTTTGCATTTCTACGGCATTAATTTGTCTCAAATTTCCCCCAGAACGACAATCACGTGATACATGACCTACTTTACCACAAGAATAACAACGTTTTGCATCACGATAATGATCAATTTCCATTGGTTCATGAGAGTTCAAAGGTTCAGTCCGTCGTGGTCTAGTTAATGTCATTGGTCTTATTGTTTTATACCTTGGTTCGTCTGCCCTTTCCGTTCTTAAAGTAAATCTTTTTCTCAAATTTTGTTCAGTCATTGCACTTTTAACTGCCAAAGAAAAAGTAGCTGGGTTTTCTCTCATTAATTTCATTTTTAAATAAGAATGAGCCAAACCATCTATAAAAATGCCTACGAGTTCCCTTTCTATAGCTTCATTATTTCCATCTAAATCTGAATATGCCTCATTTGCCAAATTCAATAAATTTTCTGCATAAATTTGAACAGACTCGTCCCCTTTTTGTTTTAATTGTCTCAAAAGAGTTGACGCATGTTGAGGGTCCGTAATTTCTCCAAACCTTGAAGTTAATTCTTTTTTTAATTGTTCCCAAGTGGTATCCCGATGGTCTCTTAAATACCTTTGTATGTAATCTGAACAAGCCCCTTTACATGTTTGAAAAGCTATTTCCTTAATTCGATCCCTATCATTAAAAAGTAAAGCATATTTTTCAATTGACTTAATCCAGGCTTTAAAATCTTTCGTATTACCTTCAAAAGGCGTTATTCCTTGAACTACGTTTTGAGAACAAATGGCTGATTTTAACCCTTTTAGTTCGGCGGCTACATCGCCTTGAATAGTAACTACTTCCCTTAACCCATGAAGTTCGTTCGCGACACCATTGAAAGCTAATTCTACTTTTTGTGCTGACATAGAAGTATCTTGGTTATCCATTAAAAAAGAATGAAAGCTATGGTAATTGCAACTTACGTGGTTCCTTTCTATCGTATAGTGGTTAGAAGTCCTGGTTGATCCTTGGTCTGAACGGCACCAATTTGACTTATGTTGCGAAGTCAATTAAGTTAACTAATACTTGTCAATTAGAATTTATTGCTTAATTTACAAGTATTCAAAGAGCGATTAAAAGTTCAAATAAATGTTTTTCACTGAGACACTGGCCGAGATCTGACGAATTCTGGTGTGATCGAATTGTGTCTTGAAGTCCAAAATGAGAGATCTTATATAGTCTAGTGGTCCATACAAACGGTCCATAGCTGTAGGCCGGTTACGTAGTAGTCTGGTTGTGGAGTAATACTAGTCTGTGGTTAATTGTCAAACTATGCAATTAACCCCTGACGGATACATGTTATTTCACAGTAGACATGGTCATTTAGTGGCTGCAGGATATATGTCAATAATATTCGTACAGATTGTTATTAAGTGTCTAAAGGTTACATGTAATCGTCTCGGTTTTGCTGTATGTAGTTACTTCCTGATGATTATCGTATGGAACACAATTGTGTTACAAACCAACTAAAATAACCAAACAAATTGGCGCATAAGAGAAAAGGTTGTTTTGGTGGGCGAGCGTTGGAAGAAAAAAATATTTATAATGCAAAACTTCCCCCTACTGTTACTAAAAGAGAGATGAAAGGGGATTGGAAGGAAATTGATTGATTTATCGATGTTCGCTGAAAGTCCAGTGGCAAACATGTCATGCATGTTCAGAACGAGAACAAATTAACAATTATAGATAAGTGGATCTTGTAATAGACGCTTTACGAGATGAAAGTCAAGAAAATTTGGACTACCACTGGAAAATGTAGGCATATTGGATAGGGACATAATTCTCCTTTGCAACGGTTCACTTACGGACCCCAAAGATTCGTTGTAGGTGTGAGAGTGTGGCACTCTCTCTACACGAGGCATAGGATTTAACTCCCTATTCTGACCGGACGTGGTTGCGTACTTGTACATCCCGCAGAGCCAAACGAACGTCCCGTTTTGGCAAGAGTTTTACTGCTTGTCGGAAATAGATCAAATACCGTATTTCTGGTCGCCACTCACCCTTAGGGCTGGAAAAAAAATAATAAATATATATATCAATATTATAAGTAGAAAAAAATCCCTCAGGAGAGATTCATGAGAAATCCAAAAGAAGTGGGACAACTTATGCATGGCGTGATAAATGTAAAATATCAAAAGATTCCGAGTCATTCACTTGCAATTCATTCTCTTTAGCAATCAAAACTTCAATCACCTGAGGAGTCGCTGAATGGAAACTCAACATTATCTTGTATCAAACCATCCAGCCTAATAATGGTATATGCTAGTAAAATCTAAATTACAAAATAAATCCACGTCATGATATTTATAAAAAATTGAGCAATTATCCAAAACTGGCGAGAAGGACCTTCTTATTATTTTATTGGAAGTTATAACATAAATTTCTTTCAGATACACCATAATTTATTTAGGTTAAAGTCTTCCTTCTATGCAAACTTTGCAATATTTTTGTTAACAGCAATATATATCAATGAATACATATAAGGAAATACAAAAAATTATTGAATACGGGTTAAGTATCATGAATATATCATATACATAATTTTTTTGGTCTTTTGGAAAATGTTGTTTGTGCTGTATTTAGACCCCTCTACCAAGAAATTTGTTTTGCATGCACACGTATAAAAATTGCGGTTTTTATCCAACGCAATAATAGGTTTGAACGTTGTTTTCAGTTTAGACTTACATATACATAATTTATATAGACTTTGAATTCCACGGAGTAGGTCTTAAAAACGTTTTGATTTTGTCCCAGTTAGTGAAACAAATTCAGGGGACATTTTCCTAATATATGTAGAAATGAACAATAAAATTGAAAATAAAACCGATGCCCCCCCCCAGAAAACAGGATTTTGCATGCCTATAGATCCTCATCGCTTCCTTCCTTCATACAGTTTTGTTCTAATAGTATACCAGGCGGTGTATTTCATAATACTTGCGTAAGCAGGCACGAACAAATCAAAAGAAATATAATTACATGAATTCCATGCGTGTAAAATCTGTGAGTACTTTTCGGAATACACACTAACGAGATTGAGAAATAAGAGTAAAATGAAGTAATAAAACTACCCTCTGTTATCTCTTGAGTTTGTTGATTATAGGTGATTTTACGAAAATTACAATGATCGTTAATATTTAGCAATAAACAAACGAAATATTACTGAATATAGTTATTATTCAATTAAATTGGAGCTAATCTATCCATGTTCTGCGAAAAAAAACATACATTCGACTGATTTTATATATTTTAGAAAAGTTAAGGTAGCTCTATAGGTACCTTATACTTAAGTATAATCTTAGGCGTTTTCTTAGTTTAAGGGGTTTTATGCATACCACTTAAGTTTTGTGGGCGTGACTTAAACCAACTAAGATTTTACTAAGGAAATACTTAGTTTAAGATTTTTTATGCATACCACTTAGGTAAAAAGGGCGGAGTTTCCTTAACTTAAGTGTTTACTAAGGAAAATCTTAACTTAAGTAGCTTTATGCATACGGGCCCAGACCTTTATTCATTCGGATTTAAGCCAATCAAATCAACTCAGTTTTCGTATCACTTTTTCGTGCAGTGTGATACGAGAAATATCTCTTCATGCAAGAAATAGATAAGAAGCCACCACCATAAGAGAATGAATAGTATTATGCTTGTCACTTAAAATTTAAAAAAAAAAATAGATACAGCACTAGCATATTTCCAGTCTGATGGAATTTTGCCAGAATCAATCGATTTTTGTAAAACATATGTCAAAATGAAAACAATTCCTCTGAAAGTTTATGTAAGACCTAAGGTTGAAGATTATCTACGACATTGGCTTTATGGGGATTTAACTGTTTTAGTAACTTAAAATACTATTATAATCAATAAATTATAATATGTGATAGAAAAAACAATGGATATGGGATATCCATCCATGACACAAAATCAGTGCTTGTACAGCAAAAAAAAATAAAAAAAAGCAAAAAGCAAAGGAACAGCGTTTATATTGCTGTTCTTCATCTCAAAGTCACACTGTAGACTTTCAACACGGAGTAAAAAAACTCTCACCTCACTACACGTATAAGACGGCCACTAGCACAGGCTTGTAAGAAACTATTTGCAAAAATAATTTGGATAGACTTTTGTCATTTCGGGGCCTTTAAACTTATAGCTGACTATGCGGTATGGGCTTGGCTCATTGTTTAAGGCCGTACGGTGACCTATAGTTGTTAATTTCTGTGTCATTTGGTCTCTTGTGAAGAGTTGTCTCATTGGCAATCATACCACATCTTCTTTTTTTATATTTGTAAGATGTAACACCATAGTAGTACATATTTAAAACAAAAAAGTTCCTACGCATAAGTGTAAATATAAAACTATGTAGGTAATATTTTAGTAATTAAGTTATCAGATGAAAGGTGAAAGCTGTAGATCCTTGTATAGAACATTAAGGTATCAGATGAAAGGTGAAGGACTGATGATCCTTGTATAGAACATTAAAGTATCAGATGAAAGGTGAAGGACTGGTGATCCTTGTATAGAACATTAAGGTATCAGGTGGAAGGTGAAGGACTGGTGATCCTTGTATAGTATCAGGTGGAAGGTGAAGGACTGGTGAACTTGTATAGAACACTAAGGTATCAGATGAAAGGTGAAGGACTGGTGATCCTTGTATAGAACATTAAGGTATCAGATGAAAGGTGAAGGACTGGTGATCCTTGTATAGAACATTAAGGTATCAGGTGGAAGGTGAAGGACTGGTGATCCTTGTATAGAACATTAAGGTATCAGATGAAAGGTGAAGGACTGGTGATCCTTGTATAGAACATGAAGGTATCAGATGAAAGGTGAAGGACTGGTGTTCCTTGTATAGAATATTAAGGTATCAGATGAAAGCTGAAGGACTGGTGTTCCTTGTATAGAATATTAAGGTATCAGATGAAAGGTGAAGGACTGGGGATCCTTGTATAGAACATTAAGGTATCAGGTGGAAGGTGAAGGACTGGTGATCCTTGTATAGAACATTAAGGTATCAGATGAAAGGTGAAGGACTGGTGATCCTTGTATAGAACATTAAGGTATCAGGTGGAAGGTGAAGGACTGGTGATCCTTGTATAGAACACTAAGGTATCAGAGGAAAGGTGAAGGACTGGTGATCCTTGTATAGAACATTAAGGTATCAGATGAAAGGTGAAGGACTGGTGTTTCTTGTATAGAATATTAAGGTATCAGATGAAAGGTGAAGGACTGGTGATCCTTGTATAGAACATTAAGGTATCAGGTGGAAGGTGAAGGACTGGTGATCCTTGTATAGAACACTAAGGTATCAGATGAAAGGTGAAGGACTGGTGATCCTTGTATAGAACATTAAGGTATCAGGTGGAAGGTGAAGGACTGGTGATCCTTGTATAGAACACTAAGGTATCAGATGAAAGGTGAAGGACTGGTGATCCTTGTATAGAACATTAAGGTATCAGATGAAAGGTGAAGGACTGGTGATCCTTGTATAGAAAATTAAGGTATCAGACGAAAGGTGAAGGACTGGTGATCCTTGTATAGAACAATAAGGTATCAGACGAAAGGTGAAGGACTAGTGTTTCTTATATAGAACATTTAGGTATCAGACGAAAGGTGAAGGACTGGTGATCCTTGTATAGAAAACTAAGGTATCAGATGAAAGGTGAAGGACTGGTGATCCTTGTATAGAACATCAAGGTATCAGATGAAAGGTGAAGGACTGGTGTTCCTTTTATAGAACATTAAGGTATCAGATGAAAGGTGATGGACTAGGGTATCAGATGGAAGGTGAAGGACTGGTGATCCTTGTATAGAACACTAAGGTATCAGATGAAAGGTGAAGGATTAGTGTTTCTTGTATAGAACATTTAGGTATCAGACGAAAGGTGAAGGACTGGTGATCCTTGTATAGAAAACTAAGGTATCCGATGAAAGGTGAAGGACTGGTGATCCTTGTATAGAACATCAAGGTATCAGATGAAAGTTGAAGGACTGGTGTTCCTTGTATAGAACACAATCATATTGACTGATAATTTTGAATAATACAAATTTGGCACAGTTTGATGGGTCTTGAACCTTTATTTGGCATAGAACTGAATCTTTGCAAGTGAAAACACTTTTAAATTGTTCATTAAAGCTATTAGGTTGCGTATTAGACAATCTGATTAAAATATAGATCGCTGATTTCGTTATACGTCTAGATTAGTCTATGAAAGGTATATACTATGAAATTTAGAGCGAGGGGCTTGGTCCGGAAAACCTTGTTTTTGGACAATCAATGCTTTTGAATGGGGATATATGGTTGGAACACCCCCCCCCCTCCTTTTTATCCTGGGTTGGAACACCCCTTTCTTTTAAAAACGGCTGGATCCTCCCCTGTAATGTCCCCATAGATAGTCTAGCGGATAGTCATTAAAAAGCAACTACCAATAGATTAAAGATACTAGGGTTTATGTTTGTTTTTTT